CTCCTGATGACTAACGCCTTAAACGAGTCCCATAGACTAAGTCCCGAGTCTGAACTTAGTTAATGTAGAGGACGTGGTTGCTGTATCTTGAATGCAGTGTGTAGCGTCTGTGTAATCCAAAACGAGTTGGTAGACGAACGGACAGCAATTGGTTAGAAAACGTACGTTTTATTTAAAAATTTTTTAAATAAAATGTACGTTTTCTAACCAATTGCTGTCCGTTCGTCTACCAACTCGTTTTGGATTACACAGACGCTACACACTGCATTTGATGATACAGCAACCACGTCCTCTACATTAATAAAATGATAAATTTAAAAATTTTCATATTCAGTAAAGAAAAATAAAAACAAAAACGTTGATCCAAAATTACTTACTTTCCTTAATACAGAAGGCACAATATTGCTGCAACATGCTACTCTATTCCAATATTCTATTCCATCATCTTCTAATAAAAATTAAAATGAAATTAAAATGAATAGTATATAAGAAATTATATAAATAATTTCTGATATTCATACTTATAATCCTCTTCACAGTTTTAACAGAAAGAACGTTCTTCTCTTTGTCTGTAGGATACTAAAAAGTTTTTAAAATATATTGTAAATAAAATCTGTAAAATTATTAAATAATTTAATTTGATTGAAAAAAATTAACTGAATTTTTTATTGGAAAAAATTTAATTTTCACCACAACTACATATAATTCCATTATTATTTCAAAACTATAGTTACTTGAAATATAACAATGTACTGTACAATATTTAATTCTTGATTAACTTATTTCCATACATCATGCTAACTGCCATAATTCTTACCTTTATAATTAGCCATTGAATTTTAATGCAAGCTTAGGGTAAAATTTTTTACAATAAATTATATATTATTACACCTTTTTTCACAAACATATATATTTAAACTATATTTTGATTAATATTTGCTGAGAAATATTAAGAATTTGCAAAATATATGTACTAAGATTTTAGTAATATGACTAAACACATTTTAAGATTTCAAAGTCATTTTAGAATACTTTTTACACTTACCTTTGTTAGGTGAGTATAAGTCACCAACTCTATTGGATATTTAAATATATGCTTGACTTCAAAATGAACAACCATCTAAAATATAAGAATTCAATATAATTTCATCAATGTTCACTTTATTCTCAATCAATATCTTTTAATATCAATTTATCTGGTTTTAATAAATTTTCAAACAACTAAAAATTATTGCAAAAGGATATTCTGTACAGGTATTTAATATACAACACTTTCTATATTTTAAATTTATTAAGAGACATCTAAAACTGTCTTAACAAAATTATGTAAATTATCAAAGCCATTTCAATACATATCAGCTTGTAAAGATGAAATTTAGACATTCCTCCCCCAGTCATTTCTAGAAAAATTCAACGTTCTAGAACAGTGTTTCTCAACGGGGGCAATATTGCCCCCATGTAGGCATTTTTCCATGTTCAGGGGACGATTAGTAACAATTTATATTTTGGGGGGGCAAAAAATAATTTTCTGGGCAATATAGTAAAACATTATATTAAGAATAATTACATCTTTCATTCGTTATATCATACAATAATTAAAACAAATAACATTATACTAGTCACTAGTCTATTCAATGCAGTACAAATTTGGCATTAGCCTTGTCCCTTGGCATTGGAATTTTGTAGTGAAGGGGGCGATACTACGTAACGGTTTTATTGAAGGGGGCAACGATTCGTTAGAGGTTGAGAAACACTGTTCTAGAACATTAAATGGAAACACTCAATAGGGTGACAGCAAGTGGGTGAGGGTCATCTGGGTGACGGACAACTGGGTCAGACATTGCTGATGTTTTGGAAGAACACATTTGGGTGCTGTTGCTCCATCACTTCAAAAGTGGCCACAATGCAACAAAAGGCTCACAATCACATCTGCAAGGCAGTTGCAGGAACACTGAACTGTTCAACTGTGGCTTTGATAATCCACAGTTGAACCAGAGAATTTCACCTTTACTTGTCTCAATTATTTATCAGATTGTAATATAAGTAATTTTAGAATAAAATGTACACAGTCAAGTTAATATTTTAAGATTATTAAACTATATGAATAAAATAATTATATTCATAAAAAAAGATAGACTTTATTAATCAGAATATCTTTAACTACAAAAACAGTGCCAAGTGTTTATATAATACTAATGAAATTAATATAATAAAGTTTACTAAATTTCATATATTAAAATGCTCTAAACAACAACAAGCTATTAATTTAATTAAGTGAAAAAAATTTAATAAAAAATTTATTCTAAAATAGTTATGCAATAATTTAAAAAAAAAAATCTAACATATGTCTACTCAGCAGTTCCATTTATTTCAAAATTATTCATTTCACAAAAATTTTGAAAGTTAGAAAACTGATAAGAGGAATTCATTTATTCACTTGATTTCAAACAAATTACCTTTTCAATATAAAAAGTAATCTAGCTTTATTTGTAATTTTACTATAATTTATATTCCTCCCTCATTTATAGTATAAAAATTTAATTTCCAGGCAGTTATACATTGAAATAGGATTAAATATAACAAAAGATAAGAATGTATGCAATTTAATAATACAGTAATTCCCCGCTTAACATGAGGGATGCATTCCTAGACGACAAATTGCTAAACGAGATCATTTTAACACAGTAAATAGAGAAATGGGAACATGAAGTTTCTCCTATGAAATGGGAACATGTGACCAAACAAATAAAATTAAAATAAAAGCTATTAAAATCCAAGTTATTCTTGTATTATTATTATGCAAATTAATATAAGTTAAATAACACACAAACATATGCACACAGAAATGTAAAGTTCATTTTGCAATGAAGGTCCTGGCTCTTCTGAAATTCTTGTTTTTTGCAATTAAGTTGTGTAGTTTTATTTGTTGCTTTCTTTCTCTTTCCTTAAGCAAATATCGGTAGCAGGAGATCACATCCAAAATGCCTCACCTTGTTTTTGCACTCATTTCAAAATCTGGATCATTCGCTACAATGATTTCAATGATTTGCTCCATTGATGAATGATTTCAGTTATCGTTACCAAACTTTTACTAAAAAAAAATTTGCAGAGAAATGCTTTGGGTTCTTCATTTTCAGAATCACTATTTTCCAGTTCTACATGAATTTTTTGTTTTGCCAGTTCTTGAAGGTCATCGTTGGTAAGGTCTCACCAGAAAATGCAGTAACTCCTCAATATCCTGCTTGTCTACATCTAGTCCTGCTGTATCGGTTAGGTTGACAAAGTTGTCAACCTAACAATACTACAGTTACAAAACATTTCCTTTTTTGAAATTGGAACTAACTCATACCTCATAAGAACCATATTTATATATACTTACACATTTTACAAATAAAATCTCATTGAAAATTCTTGGATACCTTCAGCCATAAATGCATGAACAAAGTGTGGAAGAAGTTATCAGTTAATTCTTGCCAAGCCAAGTTGATATTGCCTATGGCATTCATAATGTTATATTTTTTCCAAAATTGCACCAAACAAACAGATTTAAGGAAAGTACCGCTCTACAACAAATTGACATCCTTTGTTGATTGGTTCATGTTTGGGAATAATAATATATATGAAACAATGAAATGTGGTGATAATTTGAATCAGCATAAATTGAGATTTTTTTTAGGCTTCGAGCAGACCCCTTTATATCGAATCAGTATTAAACAAAGCAGCATTAAGCGGGGTCTTACTGTACTAATAAATATAAGCAAACAGAACCAATAGCAAGTTAATTTTAATGTTTTAATGATTCATACATTATTTGTTGTTTATATAATATAGTCCAGTTATAAAATGTTTTGATGATTCTGAAAAATTTTTTTTGGTAGAATTTCATAGTTGATTAATCTTTTGTAAAGCATTCAAACATCACTCTCTATATTGCAAATTTCTTTAATTGAAAACCTGATGTTTAAATTATTAATTTTAAATTTATTACATGCTTGTTTCTTCTTTCTTGATATTTGATCTTGTATTCATATTTATTATTCAAGTAAAAATAATATTTAATGAACTGAAATGAACATTTATCATATATGATGATATGTGCAATTTTTGTAGACAAACAAGTTAGTAAAACAAGAATCTTTAATTCACAACCAAATACAGGAACTTCTTTAATAGGATGTCAGCTATACAATCTACTCCTTACACGAATACACGTTAATACTGTAACCGACAATAAGAAAAAGATAAATTGAAATACCCTGACAATATTCTTAATATTTTACATAGATATTTGTATCTGTCTTTTTATTTCTTACAACTACCTTATAACTATTATAAATTTAAGAGAACAGGGAGATTTAGAGCAACGAAGAAGGTAGAAGATAGAAAATAACAGGGGTACCCAAGATTATCGGCAATGCTCTTGATGCATTAGATCAAAAGGACAAACCACTGTCTAACTAAGATGAATATTAGCTTAGTTCACCAAACCTCATATTAAGTCAAATATACTGGGACGAAAATGGTACTTTTGTACTTCCACTATCAGGAATCTACTTCTTTCTCTAATTCCTTTGTCTTCTCCATGAGGAATGAAGCTCTCCAGCACCAACATGCTGGAGAGCTTCGTTCACACGTCCCTTCTCATCTGATTTCACCAAAATAATAATTCTCCTGGCCAATACACTGCCCTGATGGTTGCATACCGTCCCATTGTTCCTAAGGGACACTTGCTGTTAAGCCGTTTAAGAATGAGTTTGTAGGGAACCCGTTCTTAATCAGCGGATTCCACCCCGTTGGTTCGTCTCACCAATTAACCAGTCCAATCTTTCCACACAAAAATAAAAAACTTTATTTCACTCTCAGGGACCGCTACTTCACACTCCCTCTCCCGTACCGAATTCCTCTCTATGAAAAATTCCTTCTTCCCAGGTCTTAACGGCCCCTCGTTAGCGTGTGTCGATGGATGGATCGCATCTGCCCCGACGAAACACCTCCCCAGAGAGGGGGGGTGAGAGGGTCCAATATCACTATACCCCTCGCCGCAAGAAAGTGTTAGGGTGTTAACCCGAACACGGGTCTGAAGTACAATTTCAAAAAAGAAAAAAAAAAAAAAAAGTTACAGTAAAACTTAGCTCCCCGAGAATACAAAAAGTCCATACAGACGATACAACACAATTTTCCTTTTCCTCAAATTATATTCATAGTTCTCCTTTATATTAACATCATAGTTGTTTCTTCCGTAACCAACAGTGGAAGATGAGTATTTATTTGACACTGCGATGCGATCTGTGTTGCCTCGATCACGGCCGAACGGATGATAACCACGCGATCAGAGGCCGCTGGAGCCGTACCTCCTACTTCGACCTTCCAAATATTTACTTTGATTATTGGTCTTTTGTTCATCCTGCCTGTTCCGATTGTCGTCGTACTCAGAACATCTACTACCCTTTTGCTGATTCCAGACACTTTTACTTCCGTGAATGCCGTCATGCCAGCGGTTCCTTGGAGTATTGTTTGGAGCATGGGGACTGCTCCAGTTATGATCACACTCGCTGTCTGTCATGTATGATGTGTAGCTATCAGGGCAAACTTTTAGATTTCTTTTTCTAAAATTAGAGAAATCTGCTTTTCCTCACTTATGACTGCTTTCCCAATTGTTTATATTTCCAGAATCTTCATGGTCACTGTATTTCCAACCACTAGAACCTTTTCGGCCCGGATAGCTTCTATTATGACTATTGGTCCTCTCAAGCAATGCTTTATCGTGAAGACCTACACATCGATCACTCATATCCAAGTACCAGTTTCGGTCCCAATCGTTTGGTTCACGACTACCTGTTCCACTCGCACGATTACGAAGGTAAGGAGGTCTGTACATGCCAGCTTGTCCTTCCAACACTTTGAGAATACCAGGCAGCATGAGACGAGGGCCCTTCAATTTCTCGGTCAGTGCCACCGTGACTTCTACGGGGGATAATAAAGTTTGGTTGCAACGGTCTTTAATAGCCATAGGGACCTTTTACTGTCCGTGCCTCAATCTCTTCCCCAAACGCTGGGCTCAAAATTATTGTTCCCGTCATTCAAGTCGGTAACATCTTCAGGGTGCAAGACTGGGACCTGGGTGCCTGAATCTAAGATAGCTTCGGTATCTTGCCCACCTATGTTGACTGTAACGTATCGTAAACATTGAATACTAGGGCCTGACTTCAAATGGCTGCTCCTTTTTTTCGTCAAAGTGTTCTGACCTCACACTCCCCACTATCGTGATGTCATTCCTTCTCCAATCGGTCGAGGGTTGAGTGTGACTATCGTTTATGGGTGTATCCCTTATCTTCTGCGGGCAGGATCTAGAAATATGTTGCGTTGATCTCCCTCCGTTTCATTTCCTGATGATAGTTGAGTGTGTCCTTCTGTCCCTCATCCCTCAGTGGTGGGGGACCATACTCCTGGCCAGTACCCTGGCACTCTGGAAGACGCCGTGACCCTTGCGGCTCGTATGTCTCTGTTAGAGATTTTCCCTTGCTTTCGAAATATAGGTTGCACTTTCTCGCCATGTTGATAGAGTTAAATCACCCCTCACCCTGACGAACGCTTATATGGGCCACCGTGTCAGTATCCCAACATCTGAAATAATCTGTCCGCCACGATTAATCGTTTTAATGTTTCCAAGTCCTTCACTCTCCTCAACTCGCAATAGTATTCCCAAGATGACACTATTCTCGACATAAATTGCATGCGAGTCTCGTTGGGCATACGTCTAGCATTTCGAAAGTTTTCCAGGCAGCATTGGGCGGACGGTTTGTATTCTCGTAGCACTAATTTCTTCACACTTGAGTAATCCTTTAACTCGTCTCCGGTTATATAAATCAAAATGTTTGCGGCCTTTTCTCCCAGAATATTGATCAGTATCTCCGCTTTCATCTCTTCCGGCACATTCTTCGATTGGAACGCTTGCTCTATAGATACAAAAAATAGGTTCCAATTTTCGGACTTAGTTGGGACTGGCAGTGTTAACATTTTCACATTCGTTATTAATTTCTCAATACTCTCGGTGGGAGTATCACCCTGATGGCTGTCCGTAGGGCTAGGGCTACCGTTACTCGCCCTGCTCTGAATAGTAGCGTTAATCCGCACCAGCTCTAACTCATGCTGGCGTTCCCTTTCTAGCCTCTCTTGTTCCTCCTTCTGTTTCCTTTCCGCAACAGTAGATGTCAAAATCTCCAGCACAAAATCTGGGTCGCTAGCAAAATTGTCACTTTTTGTAATAAGTTTCCTTAACTCTGATACTCTCAGATTGTCATCTATTGTGCCACAAAGCTCTTCCACCACAATCCGCAGATCTTCCTCCTTAACTCCCTTTATGCTTAGCATTCCGCCGTGAATTTCGTTTCCGACAAGTAAAAAATTTTCCTACCTCTTCTCTGGTGTAAACCTTGTATATTCCTCAAACCTTTGGGCCGTGCCCAATTACCCACTCAGCTCGGTTTTGATCCACTCTTCTTATTCTGGCTCTTAATAACTCTCTTAACAGATCAAATCTTGTCGATCTGACTTCACTATCCTGTCGGCTGTGCCAATGTAGGGAACCCACTCTTAATCAGCGGATTCCACCCCGTTGGTTCGTCTCACCAATTAACCAGTCCAATCTTTCCACAAAAAAAACTTTATTTCACTCTCAGGGACCGCTACTTCACAATCCCTCTCGTGTCCCAAATTCCTCTCTCTGAAAAATTCCTTCTTCCCGCGTTTTCTTCCCCGGTCTTAACGGCCCCTCGTTAGCATGTGTCGATGGATGGATCGCATCTGCCCTGACAAAACCCCTCCCCAGAGAGGGAGGCGAGAGAGTCCGATATCACTACAAAGTTGAAAGAAAGTTCTGGAAGGAAAGATAATAGAAATAGAAATGAGGGAAGGGAAATATAATATTCTAAAATAAAATGAATTACAACCACACAAATATGGCATGCAGCCACACACAGAATTACCATACATGTCTGCACAATTTACTTCATTTGCAAGGTCTATTTATGCAAATTCACTTTAAAGCATTTAAAAATTAAATTTTAAAATCAACTATATGAAAATAAATGATAATCAAAAGTGTGTTTTTTTGTTCAGTCACTTCTTATATAGACATTTAAAAAAGCTTTAGTTACAATATTTTACTCTTACTAGGGTAAAATAGTTTTATTTGAGAATATGGAACAGATCCCTATTTTAAAAGTTTTCCATGGCCCCATTTACCTGGTTTTCATTTACATAAGAAAAGTCTGCTTATGTAAATGGAAGAATAACTATTAAAATACCTTGTCTTTAGTGTGTTGAGTGTTCAATAAACTTTTGTTTCATCTTGTTTGAATGTACTGTAATCACTAATTCAATATACTGACATTTGACAGTTAAGAATATGTAAAAGGTATTTTATACACCTAAATTAAAACTGGAAAACAATCATATTTTTCTTGAAGAAAGACTAGTCCTTCTTGAAGATGGTCAGTGATAAAATGTCATGAATATTGAAGTATTTTTTTTAATATTAAAGCCAAACAACTACCGGATTAAATCACTATGTTACTGTTACTTTTAGTAATTAATTTCTTTTCCAGATATGCACTTCATGTCAAATTGAAATAATTAAGCTGAGGGATAACTATAAATATTTTTTTACGAAAATGAAAAATTTAAGCATTTTCAGCCTCCTATAATCATACAAAATATAGCTGCCTTCTGAAGATGACTAAAAAGCTTAAAAATTTAACTTTTTAAAAAATAAAGTTACTGAAATTTTTACTGAAATTTAACTAAGTGATATATTACAAAAACTTTGTTTTGTCTTCTATTTAACAAATTTCTCTCTGATTCATAGCTACTTTTAGGTAACTGCTAGATGTAGTTGTTTTAATTATGATTGGTTTCATCCTGTATAATTTTTCTATACTTATTCCCAGTAGTACAAACCTTAATTTTCACTTATAATGGATAAAAAAAAATACAATTTCCTATGCTATGATATATATCAAAAGTATCCTCTGTTGAATGTTTTTTGGTGAATATCACACCTGATATAATTTCTGTGATTGATGATATGTATTAACTAAATGTTATATAAAATATTAAGTTCATTCCTCGACAAATTAGCACTACACAAAATATACATTAGTTATTACTTCATATTTATATTTCATATAACTGGAAATATAAAAAATATGGAAAATTTGAACATATTCATATTTATATGTACTGTACAGTACATACAGTTACCTCTGTAGCTGTTAAAAAAACAAAAATCACTTAAATATTTTTAATTTATTTTGTTGAACTTATTAAAAATTCCTACTGACAAAAAACACTATTCTCAATTTGTTTCTTTATAGAAGGATTGCATTCTACAATACGTGAAATTTTTATACATGTAAAAAAATGGTTTATGGAATTTTATTAATATTTATTATTATATATGATATTTATTAAACTAAGAATAAAATTTGCAAATAACATTAAAATAACTAACTAATGTAAAAAATAATAATATATTAAAAAAAATATTACACATTTTTAAATAGAAATTTTTTGGAAGTTTACAATATTTAAACTATTTAGTTGTAATAAACTTTACTTAAATATAAACAAACTTTCCTTTGTATATTGCAAAAGTCAGCTAAAAGTGACTTACAATGCCAAATTTAAAACAATCAAGCAAGGCCATGCACCTTAACAAAATATCTTTAAAAGAATTACACGAAGGACACGAGACAGGTAAATCTTTTAGTCAAAAATAAGTTATTATTTATTATAATTTGACATTTTATCAAAGTTATCGAATATAATTCAATACATTTTATAGGTAATTGGAAAAAGTATTCTAAAATACTTATAAGCTTACTTCTAATTTCGATTTTCTTACGAATTCGCTCCTTTCACAAAAAATTCCGCGAAATTATCTTATCTGCCAACATCCTCGATCTGTCAATTTCATATTCCTGCTTCTCGATCACGTGAGTCACGTACACCAAAAGAGCGCCCTCTTTAAATATATAAACGTGAATAAATTCCGATAAAAATTTTAAACTTTTGCTTTTCTAATAAAAATTTTATATAGATCGATATGTTTTTTAAATAATAGATGCTACAAAGTTAATTTTTTTGAAATTTTATGTAAATATTTTTATGACGTCATCCGTTATGGCGGATATCCTTTGGAGTTTGAATGTCAGTACGGTTGTTTACCTTTTAATATGCTATTTACACGTGGTTTGAAATTGATCGAATTTTAGGTATTTTATTTATAATTTTGTAAGTTTTTTTTAAAGTGTTAAGACAATATAATCTTGAATAATATTTTATTGCGTTTTAGATTTAAAAAAAATGTCCGAAGATCGATCTTCCTCACTGTCTTTAAATGAAGATTTTCAGAAGTTCTTAGAAGCGGTAGGTAAAATAAGATTATAAATTGAAATATTTATGAAAGTGTGGAAAACCAAATGCTCTTTGAAATATCCTTATATACATTTATACAAAAATACAGGGTGTCCCAAAAGTCTCCTTACAGTGACACAAATCAAGCCCACCAGTGGCTGAATAAATAAAACCATTGAACACTGGTAGTTGGTCATTGGTTTGTGCCACCATGCAGTGTTCTAGGTTTTCTTCATGTGTCTAACACCTAAACAGAATCCAGTTTCCACATAGGAAGTCCTACTACAAGTTACCTCATTGACAGATCACCCATGTGTTCCGTTACCTTACTGCATCAATCCACTGACACAAATCTTAATGCTGAATTTTATTGTTTTGTGAATGAAGTCAAATATGTTTTGTTCTACACATTTTATTTTGGAATTTCGTTGGTTAAAAACCTGAAGCAGACCACCTTGAGTAAGGTTGAAAATGTTTGTTAGATGTTTTTATTAAAATTGTGTTACTGGATTTTAAAGGTTCTTGATTGTGTGTGAATAAAGTTACATTTTACCTTTGTATATATGGAAACTTTTGGGACACCCTGTATTTACAGATATATACATACAAGGTATTATTTTCCTTAAAGTAATAACAAGGATAGGGTCTTTCATGTATATTGAGACCAGGGCAGAATCCTGTCTGACACTCCAAATACTTGCTCTGCTCCCACTCAAGTGACACAGACAAAAAGGTGGTCATTTGTCCTTTGTTTCACATATACTGTATATATAGAAAGGATATAATTATACAAAGTCAGGGATGACACAAAATATTCATGAACATGATGCTACTTCATGATAAACAAATATAAATACAATGGAATCCCATTAATTTGGAATAATTGGGGGTGATGATCGTCTGAGGGTGCAAAAATCTGAGTTAGCACAGCTTTTATGTGATTGGGAATGAATGTAATACAGTACATAATTTAAAGTCACTCTGTCTATATATGTTTTTTTTATGACTTGAGTATGTGCAGGGCATGTTGTCTGGTAAAGTGGCTTTAATACAGCTGGATAGGCACTGACATTTCATTTCATTTGAAATAGGCCATGTTATTGGCTTGCTTATCTAGAGCCATGTTCAGTATCACAGAATTCTGCTAAATCCAGTTATTCTGTGATGCTGAACTTGATTCTAATTACTCATCTTTACCACAACACCAGAGAATAGTAATATAATTACCTCTTTCTAACCTGTTACCGGTGTGTCTACTAACTCTTAACGATCCAACACGAATCAAAACTAACGTTTTCGAACCCTTAACCGGTTCTTCTTCAGGTTTTTTCGAATCTCTGATGGAAAATGCAGCTCGTAAAAACTTTAAATTCGAAATATGTAAGTTCGAATGCACGTTTCCCGTTTCCGTCGTTGTATGTCATGCGCAGTCGACTCCAAACGGGCTATCATAAATTACTATTCATAAACGCTAGCCACGCTGTTGATAACGTAATCTCTTCTTTATAATTGATGCATTGATTATCCTTAAGGTTAGCCAAATATATGCTGGCCGCCTCTAGCCATCTGATATGGTGTACGTGCCGTGCGGTGCGGATAATTCTTGCTTTCTTAAATTCGGGTT